AATAATTGTGTATAAAACTCATAAACTTACAATTTATCATTTGATATTCACTTCTACATAGTTATAATAGTTAATAAATATAATAAACTATATAGTTACTTTAACCCTTCTATTCGATAGAAAGGGTTACCCGTGTAACTTCAACCCTATTCAAGCTCCTTTTTCATAATTTTTACATCATACACTATAATCTACATAGAATTGGCATTCAGAGTCAATTTCTCTATTGACCAAAAGTGCCAATTATTGCATTTAAACACTCAATCGTTATCAAATCCACATTTCACACTCAATTATGCACATTACTACTAATCACCCCTCATTTCAAGCTTTAACATTTTATAGCAATTTTATCTCACTACTCTCTCTTTAGATTAGGGCAATTCTTGCCTAAAGCTTCAAAACTTTATCGTTTCGACTACAATCAGTCACAAAGCAGTAGTTTAATTTCAAAGAAATTTTTTATTACTATTAGGTAAGAAATTAACTTCTAAAAACTCCTAAACTCACTTTCTTATTAGTTAAAACTAAGAGAAAATAGGGTAGATTCGAAGATTAAGGCAGTACGTGACTTACTCGATAAGTAACGAGTCGGAGACACTATCCTTGCTCCTAATTTAGCTTGCCCTAGCAAATCCTTTTCTCTTCTCTACACTAGACCTATCCTCCCACATTTCTCCCTTCTGTTTTTCGAGCTGGACACGTCCTATTAATCTGATTTTTGCTCCATACGCCGTGGTGCATCTATCACCTGCCACGGCACATGGCACAGTGAGGGAAATCCTTACTATGCTCACACGCTCTGCTTTGAGACTCTACTCTTCTACTCACATTTGTTCATATAACATCCTAATGAGTCAATATAACACTTCACCACTCAAAACCCTAAACCCACATTAAATCACTAATTCATCCCTAATTAGTCATTAACACAAGATTAGAAATTCAAGATGTTACAAATTGTGCATCCGTTGAGGCACATTGCCACTTTTCTGTAGAATAAGGTCATGAAAATGCAGCAAAAAAAGAGAAAGAAATAAAGGAGAAGTGAAGGAGAGACTATAATGCTTTGTTAGTTTTTGAGGAAGTCAACCATTGGGAGTACATTGGAGTTAAAAAACAATTGGGTAAGGTTTATAAGCTTAAATCTTCCTCCCTTCTTCCATTTTCTTGATGTTGGGAGTTAGAGTTTAGTTGAAAGTGATGATTTTCAATTCATATAGGCTATGAGTCCAAACCCATTGACTTTAATAGAGATAATGAAAGTAGATTAAGCTAATAAAACCTAGTATTTATGGTTGTATAAGGATTGATGGTTCATTAAATATGAAAATTTCACCATAAATATGAAGCTTGGGAACAATGTAGCTTCATTTATTGCTAGAAAAGAGTTCAATGAGGTTAATGTGTATTAGAGGAAGCTAACAAATCATATGGGTATTTCTATATGGGTAAAGAATGAATCTTGGGAGTGAAGAAGTGTTTGAGTTAATCGTGGAAATTAGCCCAAAAATGAATATTGATGAACTATGTTGAAAATGTTTGTAGAGTAATCATTTTTGGCACCATTCAAGCTTCTTAGAAGCTTTGAAAATGAGAATTTGAGGGGTGAAACCTTTGACCTCTTAAAGTTTGAGATAACTGGGAGAATTTTACCTTGTGCTTTTTTGTGTTAATTAGTCTATTGATTTGTATTTGATGAATTTAAATGTGTGAACTTGAATGAATTGCAAGTTTGGCATGAAATACTTGTGAAATCCACTAGGTTGAACTGTGCAAAGTTTTAAGGTCATGATATTTGCAAAATTCTATGAAACATTGTTAGTGGAGTTCTATGATTAATATTTCCTTGGAGTTCAATAATATGTGTGTTGATAGGGAGTTCAATGATTAATTGTTATGGGAGTTCAATGATTTTGTGTTTGGTAGAGTATAATGATTATGTGTCAATGAAGTTCTATAAGTATATGTGTTTATTTAGAGTTCAATGATCGTGAAAATGTGAAGTTCCAATGATTATGAAAATGTGGAGTTTAATGAGTGTAATTGTGGAGTTAAATGATTGATTGCCATGTAGTGTATCATAACCACATGTAAAATGAGTTTAATGATGACATTGTGCATGCCCGTACAATGAAAACTTTCATGCTATGAATTAATGCATAAATATGCATTGCATGATCATGAGAGCCACAGGAGTTCATCGAGAAAGAGGAGTAGAGAATTAAATTCATATGGTAAGGCTCCCATCTAAGTTGATGGCTTGCCTAGATTGTTTACATATATTGTCCTACTTGTTTAATGATAGACTGTCTCACTAGTTCAATGGGGGACTCGAACCTAGCTAGTTATCCACTCATTTAACAAGGAAATTAGACTAAGGAAAATGACACCCTATAGTGTGAGAAAATAAGGGAAACTGTGACCCACAAGTAAGAAGAAAAAACCTTAGTCGAGTAAACCCTCACACGTGTTTAGGTAGGAAAGTCTCAAAATTATGGACTATCCCAATGTGTTACAGCCCACAATTTCATGTCAGAGGAATAAGGAGGATATAAGAGAGATATGATCATACATATCATAAAATAGGGCACACGGTTGTTATATTGTGACCTTAGTGAATTAAAGCATGTGAAAGCCTTGCTCTTTATGAAATTGCATCAATTAGATTAATTTGAACATGTGCTATTATATCTCAGAATATGGATTTATGCTCTTGAGTAAAGTATATAACTTGAAAATTTGTTTGTAACTTGCCACTTGTATTTAAATTAATTAACATGCATTAGTATGAGTTAGTTGAACCTTAGTTACTGAGTGGTTGTTCTCACCCTACTATCTTCAATATTACAGAAATAGCTTAAGAGGATCAAATAGAGGAAAATAGCTAGAGGCTTAGGATCTGACATCCTAGTAGTAGGCCTCTTTTACTTTTTAAATATGTATATGTACATGATAATTGATATTGCCAACTAGGGTTAATTCATTTTGGATCTGACTTGCATTATGTGTAGCGAGTTGTGTAGTGTGTTTTGGACCCTAGTGTGCATGTATGTGTTTCATGATGTTTATAGCAAGGCTGAAATACTAGGACAAGTATGAATAGAGTTTAACTTGTGACTTTTATGGATTATTTATTGAAATGTGAGTTTTGGGCTCCCATTTTTGTTTTTGAAAGTAAGGGGTTGAGCATTGAAAATATAATTTATAAGTGTTATATATGAGGTGGTGCGTGGCACAGTTTCATTTTAGACTTTTTCATGTGGTCTGGGTGATGTCTATGGTTTATAGCTTTTGGTAATGTGATTGAACACTTAGTTTTGTGAAAAATTGATGAAAGAGTACAAGTTATGAAATAAGTGTCCAATTTTTGAATGAGTAATAATTTGAGAGTGAAACAAAAACCATTAATTAGAGCTTAAAAAGGCTTTTTATAGACACCTAGTTCACGTCAATCGGAGTCGAATGGAGAAATGAAGCGCGTCGAAAATTGTCCCAAAAGCTGTCAATTTGATAGTAGCATTGTGTTGTCACAGAACGTGCAATAGGCCATGGCGCATTGTTCAATGAGCCGCAATGCATGGCATAGAGATTCATGAGCCGCGACATGAGTTCCATAAGCCGCAGCACATACCTCTGAAACTGTAAAATTCCACTGTTTCTCACTTTTAAGCAAATGCACTGATCCTTTTAAATGATCCCGTGCTTCTACATATCATTTAAACTCTGATTTGTCATTTGGAAAACCTTTGTCGATGGATTAAATTCTGAAAACTTGAGATCCCATCTTTACAACATATTTGTGAACTTGGTAAATGTGTTTTACCTTAAGCCAATCTCTTAATTATGGAGATTTGGAGTTAACCATGATTTGTGAGGGAGGATATTACACTTGTTTTTTGCAATTGCCTTGTTGAGTTGTCGATGATTGATACGTAATCTCAAATTATCATCTTCGATGAAGAAAGTCCTTCTCAAGCAACTCCTCAATTTGTTTCTTGAGGTCTGTCAACTCAGATGGCGACATTTGATACAGAGCATTAATGATAGGCTAAATTCACATGCAAGCTAGTTGGACTTCTACCTCCAAATGATTTGTGTATAAATGAAACTAATTTTTTTATTTAACATTTTTTAGTCAAAAGAAAAATGAATTAGGAAAAATGACAATTAAGGATCCCATAAGAACATTAATTACAATTACAAATCCTGAATTATCAAAATTTCAATAATAGACCATGGTCTTTACTTACAATTAAAAAGAAAATGCAATAAATCAATTGTAAAATCAACAAAATACACTTAAAATTATTTATAACATAAATTGAGAATTTATAAATCAATTTTAAGTCTCAATTTTTGCTATTAATATACAAATAAACCACTTAAAAATTCAATAAAACACATTTAAAATTATTTATAATGTTAATTAAGAATCTATGAGTCAACTATAATTGCAATCCAATCATTTTGTAATTTTTGCTATTAATATATAAATAAATTGCTTGAGAAAGCTACAAAATATAATTAAAATTATTTATAATATCAATTGAAAAATTACGAGAGTCAATTGTAAATCACAAGTTAATCACTTATAATTTTTTAATTATTAATATATAAATAAATTACTTAAAAAATTAACAAAAAATATTTAAAAATTTTTATAACATTAGTTTGGAATTCACAAAAGTCAATTATAAATTCAAAACCAATCAACAAAAGATACTTTATTGTAAGTAAGTTTCATATTCTATTATTGAGATTTTAATAATCTAAAGTTTGTAATTATAATTAATATTTCTATGAGGCTTCTAATTATCATTTTCCCAATAAATTTTGAACTCAAGGGTCGTTCTAGTTAAATTTGTCCAATATTTGGCCACAAAATTTTTATGCAATATGCATCTCGGCCTTGTGGCATATTAATCATCGCTTATACATCTGAAAATGTGAAACTCCCGCTCGCGCGACTTGAAAGAGAGTGGTTGAATATGCCCTCATGATATGAAATGACAAAACAATGCATTGTAGTGACAGTGACCACTAACTAGAAGTCCTTGAGATCATGAAAAAAAAAAAAAAAAAAAAAAAAAATTACAGACAAAGTTGGGAACCCAAGCATGTCCTCAGTTAATTGCCCATCGAGGGTTCATCATCTCATTGAATTCATAACTAAACGTCCTTATAGATCATCTTACTTGCTGCGTTCATATCCTAACATACATTAACAAGCAAAACTCCCGAACAAAAAGTAGGGAACAAAAGTAATCTTCAGTTCATTTAGCTGTGAGGGTTCATCATCTCATACATGTCTCTCTAGATCATTCGTAAGAGATCCTGCACAACTTCCGCCATTGCTGGTCGGAACTCTGGTTCATGCTGTGGGATAGAGAATTTAAAAAGGTTTTAGACTGTAGGAAAGCAAAGTAAATTATATGCAATAAAGCCTTGCAATTTTTTCCTTGTAATTTTTTTTGGGAAAAAAAAAATCTTTCTTCTTATTCCCCTAGCCAAAAGGGGAAAAAAGGTAGGAACATACATGCCAACATCCATCTCTCATATGAACTGACTGGAAAACATGGCAGAGCAACAAAACTTAGCCTAGCAACAGAGCATATATTCCTTCAAGTCAGATGCAGATTTTCAGCAAATTTAAGCAACAATAACTGGTCTTGATGGTAATCATAAGTTGAATAAACTCAAACTACATGTAAAGAGAAAATTGTATTAGATCATACATTTGACAATAACAAAACGAACATGCATCACCAGACCAAGCAATTGTTAAGTGTTTTGGCACCCAAGTATGAAGTGGAATTGGATCTTTCATTCAAGACAAAACGGATTTGGAGACTATAAAAAAAGATAATGCTTCTCCAACAGATCGTTCAATGAAGAGGAGATTTGTATGAAACCGAATTAGACAACATATAATGCCCACACCAACTTTCTCTATTCCTTTTCCTGAATGGAAGAAAAGCGTGAGGTGGAAAATTACCTGCAGACATGAAGAGATGATGTCTGCAAAACGTGACAAGGACTTCATAGAATAAGCTCCATTTAAGGAGGGGTCAACCATCTTTGTTAAAGCATCAATGTCATGCAGTTGAGGAACTGCCCATCTGACCAGAAATTGCTCACCATGAGGTCGTGACCTAAATCAAAATGCATGACGCGTTACTCGAGTCCAGTATCCCCACAAAGTCAAGCTTCTGTGTAGCTGGTTTTATTTCTGTATAACATACACAGGACAGGCACATATTAACTGACCACTAACCTGTCACAGGATTTTCGCCCAGTGAGGAGTTCAAGCATTACAACTCCAAAACTAAAGACATCACTCTGCTTTGTATAACTTCCTGATTCAAGTTCTGGCGCACCATAGCCATACGCTGTGAGGAGGCGTCCTGACAACTGAGGGTAGTAGTTGCACCATTGTTAGCCAGAAATTTAACAGTAGTGGAAAAGCCAGCATATTATGTCTTTTCAGTTACAAATAACAGTAGAAGGAAGCTTTTGCAAACAATATTTGGAAGCTTATTCTTAATAATCATTATCCCGGTAATGCATAAAGAGTGTTATATTAAGGCCAAAGGTTTTTCTATGGCATTATTATTAACCAGCGTCTAGAAAAAGCAATTTTTAATAACCAGAAAACAAAAGAAAAAGTTTTAGGATAAAATGCTGTGGACTTAATTCTTTGAGCACATCAGAGAGCATACATATACGCATAAAAGGATAAATAAAAAATAGCCACACTGTCGTCATGCCTGTTTGAGCTTTATTTCCTGTGGTTGAACATGTATTACTTTTCTTTGTCTTCATGTGGTTTTTGCTGTTAAAAGGACTGCCATCAGGAGCAATTTTCTTATAGTGCTAAATGCATAAATCCATGATGAAGTTCAAATGGGGGAAACACAAAGGGGCAAAGTGAAAAACTGGAGGCTATTGTGCTATCAATGTTTCATTCAATTAAAAATCCAATAGGGAATAGTTAAAGGTGGTAATCTAAAAAATACGCAATCCACAAGGACAAAAAGTGGAACATTACTAAGCATATGGGAACAGGTAGATAACAACCAAAAAACAGGGAGGGTATTTGATACACACCCTCAAAAAGAAGATTCATTGGCATAATAATGCATTTGCTGTAAGGTAGAATCAATATTAAAAAAAAAAAAAACACTGCACAGCAGTCATTGTGACTAATTGCATTGAAGCGAGGATACAGAATTTCTCAACTAATGCTTATCGAAAAAGAATTTCTTAACTCCTTTATGCACAGCAGTCATTTCACAGCTAGACAGAGAAAAAATTGATCCCATGATGTTGCACTTCCACGTCTATTCCATCGCATCCAAAAACTCCTCTAGTGCTCAACAACATTGAGAAGCATGCATTCACCATGCATTTAGTTCAAAAACCCAGACTATAAATGGTTTGAAAATTTACAATTTAAAGAAAAGGAAAGCTAAAGCCATACCTGACCAGCAGATCCAGAAGACAGTAAAGGACCGAATCCACAATCACAGACATGTGCTTCAAGCTCAGTATTCAAGAGAACATTAGCTGATTTAAAATTTTGATGCACAACAGGCGGCTGGAGGTTCTCATGCAGATACCTAATTCATGGAAAAAATGTTTATCAAATTCAAGGTTGTCAAGAAACTCATAAATGCCCCAGCCTAATGCTGAGTCTGAAACATAACCATGAAATATGGATTGAGAACCTAATTTTTATTGCAAAAAACACAGCTTTAGATTATGTCATTGTGCCTTGGTCACTAGTGAAAAAGACGCAAAGAATATGTTTCAAACTTCCAAGGTAAGAAGAGCTTTACATTATTCTAGTAACTACTAGAAATTGGCAAAACAACTCAAAAGTAGGTTGCTAAACTCACTCTAAAGCACTTGCAGCTCCAAGTGCCACACGAATGCGTGCATTCCATGACAGTTTAGCATGGAGTTCATTATCTTTATGCAATGCATCATGAAGAGTTCTGTTGCTGAAATAATCATATACAAGAAATTGTTGACCATTCTCAGCACAGTATCCCATAAGCTTCACAATGTTGGCATGTTGAATTTTGGAAATATTGCACACTAATTGAAGAAATTGTTCATGTCCTATAGAAGAAGTAGCATCCAGTTTCTTCACTGCCAGTTGCTGCAAACATCATTTGGAAGACATAGCGCTAGTTAAGAATGTGCAACTAGGAGGAAAATAATGTGTTATGTCAAGCAAGAAAGGAAAAATGCTCATTGAACAATGCTTGGAAAATCATAATCATAAAGCTTTCAATTTCTTAGACTGTGCAAATCAATATAATTAATATACAAGTGAGTATGAGAGGAGGGGAAGGGGCATAGGCCACCATTGATCATTAACCATGTGCCTATTCCTACATATTAAGAGCTACATGTCATATTTTGGCATACAACAACAACAACAACAACAAGCCTTTATCCCATATTTTGGCATACTAGCACAAAATTTTGTTTGTTGCTTTGGAGATTGAAAATAACACTGTTCAAATGTAACGAAGGGAAACTAGAAAAACATGAACAATATAAACGTGTCTCCTTACCAAAAGGTCCTCATACATACCACATGATGAAATAGCCAGAAGAAAAGCTGATCAATTACTAAGCAAAATGTTCAGGTACAAGGCCAGTTTTGGGAATGAATTAAAACAGTAAAACACCCAAATACCAGCAGATGAACTCAATTCAAACTAGAGCATCATTCAAAATATAAAATCAAAATTATTTACCTTTCCATCAGGGAGCTCAGCCTGATAAACGACACCAAGCGTGCCTTCACCAATATAATTTTCTTGGGAAAAACTATTTGCATACTGCTGAAGTGATGCAATAGTATAAACTTGCAAAAAACTTGTCATAACTTGTCTCTCAGTTACTTTGGTAGGTATGGCTCGTTTCATCAAGTCCTTTTCACCAAGATTGATTGGAAGAGGAGATGGTGGTGGCCGCAATGTTGCAAGTTTGGAACCTGCTGATACTTTGTTCACATGTATTTCCTGCTCATCCTGAACATTTAGAATCATATTTGTTCTTCTATTCTGTTCTCCGTATCCAAGTGATTTTATTGATTTCCCAGATGCTTCATGAGAAATTGCCACGAGAGTTTTGAGAAGTTAATTCACGGAAAACATAAATAAAATAAATAAATAAATAAGCCTCATCTAAGATTAAATAATTACATTTACCTTTCTCCAAAGAGTCAGTGTATTGATGTTTATGTAATGATATTGTGTCCACACCTACATCACTTTTTATACCATTTTTGTTTTCTGGTCTTCTCTTAAAGCACCACAACATAAATAGACAAACTCCTAGTGTAATAAATACCAAAAACCCAGCAATGGCAATCCAACTGACATTCTTAGATATAAAGGACTTCCTAGCACTTGCAGGCATTGGTGCATCCACGGTAAATGGACTATTTGCCACATTCCAAGGTGCTTGGATAGGTGATGGAGCCATAGCTACAGGAGCTGGGGCTGCAGCTGGAGGTGATGGCATGGCAGTAGTATTAAATGGATTTCCATCTTTTCTGCAAGGGGATGCTATTAGAACTAACTTGAAATCTGCAAATAATTACTATGCTGAGAAAACCTATCAAAGAAGAAACTTAATACTAAATCTATATTGTAATTATTGTTAGGATGATAAATTTTCTCATGCAACTTCTCACGTGATGCAAATAGGAATACTTGAACCAAAGTTTCATGAGAAGGAGGATGGGAGAAGAAAAGGCCAGGAAAAGGCTAACCTGAGATTTGGGATACTCAACAATTGTGGAGGAATTGGCCCAAAGAATAAATTGTTCTCTATATTCCTGCATAATCAAAATTGGTTCTTAACATATTCTTTGCTTTCTATAAATTATTAGGTATACATGTGTATGTAAATTTATATTTCTATTCACTAATGTCTGTAAATGGTATATGGGTTGTAAGAAATTTACAAATCCTGAAGAGGAAGGTCTTGCAAAACATTAAGAAACCCAGAAAGTTCATTGTTCTGCAAGTGTCTGCAAAATAATAATAATAATAATAATGAAAGAATAAATCCTCAATTCCTCATTAAAAAAGTTGGCAACTAGATTATAACATTGGCAAGAATTATACTCACAATGTTGAAAGTGATGACAAATTTCCCATTGAGGGCGGTAGCTGACCACTCAAGTTGTTAGCTGACAGGTCTCTGCAGTATCACATGACTTCTGTCAATGCAGAATAAAACAATGACAGAAATATTAAGGTGAATTAAAACCATTTTCTTACATGTTTATCAGGACAGTAAGCTGCTGAAACACATCAGGGATTTGTCCATCTAGAAGGTTGTTACTTAATGACCTAAAGGGAGCAAACGCCCATCAAAATGAAGGAATAATCTATTTTAATTCTGAATAATAACAAGCCAATATTGCATCATGAGAAGAAGATGACAAATTAACTCACAAATCTAACAGTTGTGTTAGAGAGGATAAGGCATCTGGAATACTTCCATTTAACTGATTCCCTGAAAGAGACCTAAAGGTAAAAAGGAATGAAAGTTTACTTTAGGACATTTGGACAAATGAATAGAAGAAAAGATTAAATCACTCAACACAATTAACCAAATGGCCAATATACAAATTTATAGAAGGTGATGATACATACAAGTTCCTCAATGTAGGGGGTAGCGTGGATGGAATAGGCCCTCCAATGTGGTTGTTGCTAAGATCTCTAACCAATTATGGAACATAAAGCCTCATGAGATTTTGTTAGAGCTTTGACAATTTCTATCAAAACAGACTGTAAAAAGGGATTTATAAAAGAACAGCCGTACAAGATTATGGAAGAAACAGTACTAACAAGAAGTTACTTCCAATTACAACACCCTAACTCAGACCACCAATATCATGTACACACATAATGAAGCTGATGAACCCATTGCTGTGGGGCCTGGGTTGCTATTGACATACTTCTGCTAAAGAATACTAAACTTCATAGATGTTACAAATGACACAAATATAGTGAAGTTATGGATTACAATTTCAGAAGACTAGCAAATAAGATGAACAAAAGGACTTAAATACTCACTACACAAATACACACTACAAGCACAACAATACAGAACTAGAACCTCAAGATTATATAACAGGTTAGCCAACTTTAGAGAGGTTGGTTCTCTCCACCAAGGACTGACCAAAATTCTTCCTGTTTTCCTTTTCAACTATTCTCCGTATATATCCCCATTCAACAACTCTTTAATTGCTCCACCCTACCCCTTCATCATTACTCCCTTCTTTGCATCTTCACCCATCTATCTTTTTGCATATAAACATTTGGGTTCTTCATTGTACCATTAACCCCACCTTTTTGGCCCTCAGTCACTTCCTTATATCTCTTGTGGCACATTTTGGCAGCAACAATGGATTGGAACCCATCAGATTCCCAATACATCCATTGCATAGTATGGACCCAAAACAAGTAAATATTTAAAACAGTCAACTTCAATATGCATCTCCATCACTATTATAATACTATCCAAACATGCAAAGTAAGTGGTCTCTTTTATGAGCTATAAATTCTAAACTGAAGGACTCCTCCAATCACCAAGGACTTAGAACTCACAGGAGCTTGACATGTGTGCTGGTTAGTATTTCAGAGGTAAGCAAGTAAGCCATAGGAAAAGGCATCTCAACTCAATCAAAATTATTTTTAGCTTGGATAATAATGAATTTACTTAGTCTGAAGACAATAGATCCTTCAATGTGGATTATGGAATTAATAAATTCATGCTGATGATGTGCATGTACCATTTTCTTGGAAATCAATACTTACATTTCAATGATGGAGGGAAAATTTAAGTTACTGCCCAGCTCTCCACCCAAATTCATGCCTCTGAGACTTCTGTTAATGGAAATGCAAGTATTAAGTCTAGGCCATTTGTAACACTCAATTCTATCAATCAAACAACTTAGAAACTCAAATGAAAGACTTTGTATTAAAAAAAAATTCTAAATAATAAAAAACCCAATACAAGATTAACCAACGAGTATTTAAGTGCGATGAGATATACGTACAATTGAGTTATGTTGGAGAAGACACAAGCCACGCCTTGCCACAGTTCTGCACATGGATCTCCCCCAGTAGTTTTCCAACCTTGAAGAGGCGGTAAGCCCAGAGCCGCATATAAGCTATTGATTGCTGCAACTATAACAGCAACACATCATTTAAAAAAAAAAAATTACCTTGATTAACTTCTGCGTTAATCAAAAGATCATGACTTGATGTTTAAGCAGGTGACATTTCTCATTAAGTTTATGCTCATTCACTAGTAAAAGTTCTAGAATGTCCAAGAAAGCATTGAAAACTTTACCGTCACCATGATAATCCTATCATAATTTTTTTTTTTAAAAAGAAGACTCTATAATAAATATAAATCAAAACAATTAGCAGCTTTAAAAATAAGACGAAAACGGGGGAAAAGAAGGAGCATGAACCATACCGTCAAGCAAGTCAGTATCTCCAGTACAAAAGATTCCTGTGAAAGCTATCATCACCATGACAAAGATTCGGACATGCAAGCCCATATTGGCATAAACCACCCTTTCAAGATAAATCGGCTTCCAACGGCAACCTTCTTTTCGGCTTCCAACGGCAACCTTCTTTTCCGCCTGTGGACGTCTTCTGATGATACTACAAAAAGCCTCTGAGCTGACGGTGAAGATATTCGAACTCAAATTTAAAATTGAACAAACAGAGCAACACACACTGACGGAACATTCACAAAACTCTGATTTCGAGAAACTAAGCAAACCCTTTGCAGAATGGAGCCGAATAGGCAAAGGAATGAACAGCAGGAAGGTGAAAATGGCTTGCCTGGAGCAAAAATGACACAGAAGGTGAAGAAGGAGAACGAAGGTCACAAGTGATTGTTGCGATGACGAAGATGCAGGAAGGAAGGTAACAATGAGCAAGTGAAAAGCCCTAGTGATGATTGTAGAGCTTCATCCAAAGCACGCAGAGTCGTAGAGCCTCAGGGGAAGCCGAGGGGTCATGCTTTAGCACTTTTCAAAAGTACGAGCCATCAAAAGTGTTGTATGAGTCAATAATAGCTTCATTTGACTGTTTTGGAGTGAGACAATCAGACAATAGAGTATTTAAAATAAATTCAATTTCTATAAATTAATATGCTTCATTTTAAATAATTCTGCAATTGTTCTTGCCAAGCTTGACTCAGTGGGAGTGTCTGTTACTGTTACTCTGTTCTTTGAAGGGATAAACATATGGATGTGTGGGTGTATTTGTAGTTTATCCATTTCAAACAAAAATAATTAAATAACTTTTTAATAACTTATGTTGTTTCGGTGGGAATTTCATTAAACAATTTCCTTGCAAAAGAGGAAATTTGATTATAAGATTGACGCAACCTTTCGGCATTTTAGAAGATTATGATTTTTGTTAGAATGCTAAATTAATAAAGATTAATATCTATTTTAATTCTATAGAATCTCTTTTACTTGTTTAACATAATTTGTCTCAAAGTCATCCCTAATAAAAAACTGTTAAGAAAATTAGGAATTTTATTATGAAAGGCTAAATGGTCACTTTCCACCATATATTTAAAGAAGTTAATAAATGCATTGAGGCACACTAAATATTTCAAGATAATTTAAATTATCTTATTTTTAATCACTCTCCTTGCAAAATCCTTTTGAATTTTGATATGACATAATTTTTGTATATTTATTAGAGCCGGTAATTCTAGCAGGCCAAACTCAGTTAGGGTCAGGCTTATTTGAATCAAGCTTAAAGTATCTTATCCTTTTAAAAAAGCTCATATAGTTAAATTCAATCCTAACTTTTTTCGGCTGGGTCCAGGTTGGCTCGTCAAACTTGGCCAAAATTACCAACTCTCTATATACATATAGAGTTGAAAATTCTAGCGATCGGACTTATTCAAGTCAGGTTTATTCGGATTAGGTTTAAAGTATCCTACCCTCTTAAAAAAGTTTTTATAGCCAAGCCCAGTCCTAATTTTTTTCCGATAGATTTGGACTGACCCATCAAACTTTATTTGAATTACCAGTTCTAATATTTATACACTATTTTTCAATAACCATGTATTAAAATAAAAATACACATGCTTTTTTAAGCTTTGAGCAGCCAAGCACTTTGCCCCACAAATGAATTTTTGTTTTTGTTTTTGTTTTTGTTTTTGGGTGAGGGGCATATATAACTTCCAGACTAAATTTTTGACTTAGTAACATGGGAGAATTTCAACTATGAATTTATAGACTAAATTGAAATAAAATGAGTAGCTAAAAAGACTGAAATATCCTTTTACAAAATTAATAAGTATTTGATTATTACCTAACTTTACTTATTAATTACTTACTTGCACTTGTTAATTCATTAACAGTACTTGTTAAATAGTTAACTAGTTAATTCTATGACTTTATAATTTTAAGAATATTATTTATTAATTTATAACTTTATTTGTTAATTTATCAATATCACTTGTTAATTACTTGACTTGTGAATCCTTTACAAAACTTGTTCACTCAATTTGACAAAAAAGCATCATCAATAATTGTTAATTTTCGTACTTTATTTATTATTTTATCAATATCAGTTGTAAACTACTTGATTTCACCTATTAATAATTATTCTAATATCAGTTGTTAATTATCTAACTTTAACTTGTTAATTTACTAATATTAGTTGTTAATTATATGACTTGTCAATAATCATATTAGTTCAATTATTTAGTCTTAAATGCAGAATTATTACTTATTAATTCTCTAACTTTACTTATTAAATTATCAATATCAGTTGTCAATCATTTTTTTCTTCTATAAAAGGACATTTTGGTCTTTTTAACCACTTATTTTATTTTAGTTCAGTCCAGAAATCTTGCAGTGAATTTTCAGATTTTTTTTGGACCCATTAGTAAATATTTCTCTTCCTTAATCTTTAGTTGGAATTCTCACTAGTAACATTTAGTCATAATTTAATTCAAAATCTTTTTTGTAATTTTAGGTTACAACATGTGGTTGAATTTTATTTTGATTTGAAGGTTAATAATCTAATAAAATTGTGACAGTAAAAAATTTTAAGATATTTTTTCAAAAAAAAATTAAGATACTAATTGCTTTTTTAGACAAACTTTTATAAGAAAACTGACCCTTATCACTTAGAAATGTTCAACTAATTGTTATCAAAAAAAGAAAAAGAAAAAGAAATGTTCAACTAATGATTAATATTAGTAAAACGTTCTTATGTGGTGACATTGCATTATTTTAACCATAAAGAATAATGTAAGTTTTATGATGGTTTGTTGTATTTATTCATTCATTATGATTTACATAGAATGATGATAATGATAGTAAGTATATACTCCCTCTATTTAAAAATATAAAATATTTTTTAAGGAGTTAGATGTTAAAAAATATAATATATTTTAGTCTTTTGAGGTGTAATTTTTATCTTTTTTTTTAAAGTGTTCTTATTGATGAATGACTTTATATTTATTATAGGATATTTAATAAAAATAAATATAAAAAAATAGGTTTAGTTTGAAAGTAAGTAACTATTTTATTAAAAAAGTGAGATTCTATTAAAAATATCTTATATTTTTGAACCCTCATGTGTATATTAAAACGTTTCATAAGTTTGATTTTTATTTCAGGTGAAATCATAATTTTAACTTTAATGAGCCAGATCATTATTTGTTTTAAAGTTGTCGAAATTTGGCGCCGAGAAATAAACGCTAGGGAATGATATCGCATGTGGGCACCACGAAGAATTCTTTTTTTTTTTTTGGGCGAATCCCCCACAGCGAATTCAAAAGTAGTATGATGGATGTTTTTCTAATGATATTTTTTCTTTCCCTACAAAACAGATGCTTATATTAAGTTAAAAAAATTTTGATCACTGTATTTTATTCTTATTTTATTATAAATTATTATATATTTTTATGTGTTTTGAGTTTTTATATTTTCATTTTTTAATATTATAAATCCCAAAATGAACAAAATATAGAGATTTTAAAAGGACCTAAAATGCTAAAAAAAAAAGTGCAGAAGTCCTAAACACTAAAAAAAAGTATATGAACCTATAATAAAATACGAGTATTGTACAGGAAAAAAAGTTATGTTTTTCTTATTAAATAAAATACTATATAGTTGGTCTGCAAGTGCATTTGAAAAGAAATGACAAATCCAACATATGTTAACTGGAAAGCCTCGTAAAAATTCAAGATTTTGCATTGACATGTCCTGCTTGTTTGGAACATCTACTATGTTCATTAAAAAATATAAAATATTTTTAACTATCTTGAAACTATTACTATCATTAAAAAATGAGTGTTTTATCTAAAAATAAATATAAGGTGATTTATTTATTAATGAAACTTTTGAAAAAAAACACATTAATTATATTTTAAAAAATTAAAAATGTCTTACATTTTTTAACATTCAATCCCTAAAAATGGAAGGAATATAAAGCTCTTCCCTCAAGTAATGTTCCATTACATTACCACTATGAATACTATATTTTGTTCGGGTATATTTTTTAATAAAAATAATAATAAAATCAACCAAAAAATGAAATTTTAATAATATAGATAAAAAAAATTAATTAATAGGGTTTAATATTATAATTTGCTAGTTAGAATTTTATTTCTTTTAATTCTTTAAAATAACTAAAAAATATAAAAATATAAAAATAAAATTTAATCCTTTTTAGGATTATATTTTTAAATAATAATAATAATAAAATAAAGAAGATAAATAAATTTAATCTCTCTTCAGAGTCAATTTTGAAAAAAAAATATCTTGCTTAAATCTTAAAAAATCTCTTCCAAATTATCTCCGCAATTCAAAGATCAAGAGAATCTGTTTTTTTTTAGAGTTCATTTTTTTCCTTAAATCTTGTTGTTTTTCATAAAAAAAAGGGATATTCTTGCTCAATTCAAAATTGTGATTAACATAACATGAAAAATAAAAAGAAAGCATTAAAAAAAGCATTAAGCATTTTAAAAAAAGCATTAAGCATCCGACCACACACGTTTGAAGAAAGCAAGCAAAGCAGAAATTTCAACCACAACCTAAAAATGTTCGGCTAGCAGAGGTAGGGGTGTGCAAAACCAAACCGAAATTGAAAATCAAACCGAACCAAACCAAATTAAGTTTGATCTATTCGGTTCGATTTAAATGATCAGTTCAATTTTTTTATTAAAAAAAATTGGTTTAAATGGTTCGATTCAGTTTGAAGATTGCAGAACTGAACAAACCGAATTAATCAAAATTAATTATATATATAAATATTATAATTAATTTATATTGTTAAATGTTATTTTTATTTTTAATAATATTACATTTAATAAATTTTTTTGTTATAAATTTATATTTAGTAAACAGTAAAAGAGAATGGGGGAGATAAGAAAGTAAAACCAAGCCCAACCCATACTTAGCCCATTACTGTTAACATTCTTTAGGTTTAATAGAAGTCCTTAGACTAGCACCAAATCACTCCCTCCATCACTTGATCAATTGCGTCTTCTCTACTCATTCATGCACACCTACTCACCCAGGCCACTTACTCCAAACCCTAGCCTCTCATTCTCCACTTCGTCTCAGGCTCTAATGGTAGCTTCTTGCGCAATTTTTGCTTTTGATTTTGTCACTGAGTAGCAGCACACTCACAGCTCCTTTATCTCATTGTGTTTGTGCCTTTGTGTTCATCTCTCTTCATCCCTTCATCTCGAGAAGATGACTTCTCATTTCTCCTACTTGTTCATGCCTTTGTGTTAAGCTCTCGTGGAGTGTTTTCTTCTTTTTGTTCGTGCCTTTGACGACGCAACTCGCAAGGTATGTTTGTCTGTGTAGCCTTTGTTTTTTATTCTGATCTCTGCCTCTTCTTGCTTTTAATTTATTGTTTGTTGACTTAGTGGTTAGATGGGTGCGAAACAAACTAAAGAGCAAATGTTACTCTAAATGGCCAAACAAGCCTCATAACTAAAATGTATAACCGAACTGAACCATTAAATTTCGGTTCGACTTCAGTTCAGTTTCTTTACCTATTTAAGTTTGGTT